GAACATTCGTTCAAAGTAGCTGTTTGAAATAACCAACAGTAGTAAATCAGTGATCTCTCGGTATAATAATAAACAATTCATGTAACCGAGCAGATCCACAGCAATCGGCGTATCAAACATTCAACAACCACGCAATAACCAGTGTCCGTTGCCATAAATAATTTGCACAATTAAATACAGCCGAATACCAATCCATTAAGCAACCGCAACAATGACGAACAATTTGTCGATCGCATACAGCGATCCACAAACCAATCGCTCAGTATCCAAACAAAATAATACCTATGCTCAAACTTTCAGATAATAGTAATATTAGTAATAATAAAACGATGGTAATAACAGCGATAATGAAAATAATAATCTCAGCAATATTTTATTATTATTATTATTGTTATTATTATTATTATTATTATTATCAGTATTATTAGTATTATCACTTCTTCTTGTTAATGAAAAAGCACCATGTGTCTCGTCCCATAAACGACATTGGTCGCATTGAAACGATCTGAAAGCAATGTTTCGTTGCAAAGTTATGAGTGAATACTTTCTTTTTAGTGATCATCAGGACCGATAAGCAAATTCTTCGATAGACGTATCAATAAATAGCAACATAAATAGTTATAATAATGGAGAGTGAGCAACGAGCCGATAAGGGTAAGGAATATAAACCGCGCAATGTATTGGTAACTGGTGGATGCGGTTTCATTGGTTCAAATTTTATGAACTATATCTTTGGAGCATGGCCTAGGGCTCGCTTTGTCAACTACGATAAACTGATTCTGAATTCGGATTCGTGTTATGTACGAGAAGAGATACGCAACAATACGAAACGATATCAGTTGGTGACAGCCGATTTGAGAAATCGTGATGTTATGCGTAGAGTGTTAAGCGACAATGAGGTTGGTGTGTTTTTCGTTCAAGCATCGTTATCGGGTTTACGTTTCTGTGTCTACCAAAAACAGCAGTTTCGGAAATGATTTAACCTTTACTCTTGCTTGACACTTATTGTTAGAGAATTAGACTATCAGTATTTTGAGGCAGCATTCGATTTCGAGCAAAACTTTCATCCTCATAAAATCGAAATTATCAGATTGATACGGTGATTCATTTCGCAGCTGATTGCACGTCTACACGTTGTTATTCGGATCCAATTGAATCCATTCAAAACAACGTTCTTTCGTATGTCGATTTCTTGGACGAAGTGAAAGATTATGGAAAAACTGAACGCTTCATACATATCAGTACCGATGAAGTGGGTAACTGTTCGCTTTGTGTCTATTTTTTAAATTATTTAGACGGCAGACGGACGAACAGAAGGAAAATTTTTGTTTTTTTTTTGTGCCCAGAATCACATATATCCTTCATAGGGAGCACATGTACCCGCAAGCAAACATGATAGTTATATTCTTTGGTAATGAATGTTTGAATGTCACAACTTTGGATGTTTGAGTGTATTTGATAAGGTTGAGTTAATTAGCTAAATTATAAGTTTTGAAAATATATCAATTGTAAAGCGTTCAAGTTCAAGAACACTTCACAGACTTGAGATGCAGTACGTGTTTCAGCATAATGCAACACAAGTAATTATGCGCTTTGACTGGCTAAAACCTATTACTTATTTCTGATTTATCTCGAGGGAATGGGAGTGTTGTTATTATTATTACTACTGTTATTATTATTGTTCGTTTATTCCTCTTACAGGTTTACGGAGATTCAGATTTGTCTTCAAATGAAAAGGGGAAACTCGAAGATGCAATGCTTCGTCCTGGCAATCCGTATGCTGCCACAAAAGTGAGTAATTGGAGTATCTGGTTATTATTTTATTTATTACTTCAATAAACATTAACATAATTTCATATACTCCCTCATTTGTATAATACATAGCATTGTGTACATTAATGACAAGCGTTTGATTTTCATAAAAATCGTTTCGTATTTTGGGCAAATTGGATTATTGAAAAAATGAACTCATTTGCAGTTTAAACTAGTGTTTCTCCGACAATTTCCCAATTTTTTGGTCGAAGTCCTTCCTCTGGACGGATGCCTCTCCACGAGAAACCCCTAACCCCGTCCACTTTGCTCCTCGACGGGGTTCTCCCTGGCTAAAAAGTTGCTCCCCGATAAATATTAGTTTAAACTGTCCGACATCACCTTAGACGTATTCATCCGATCTGTATCAATCTCCAAGATAGAAGGGTGGTGGATGTTGAAATTTTCAAAACTTCAAAAATGTTTTTCTCTGAAAGAAGTATGCTTCAAATGTTGTCACAAGTTCGCTGGGTTGTGGTGTAACGTGACAATGAGCAGCAGTCCAAATTGGAGTTGAAACAAAATGTGTGGTTTCTTTCAAACTTGTTTCATTCGTGAATAAAACTGATTTGCTATTGAATATTTCTGAAGTTAATTTCAGGTTGCTTGTGAATACTACGCACATGCATATCGGGAACAGTATCGTATACCAATAATCATTTTGCGAATCAATAATATTTACGGACCAAATCAATGGGATGTTAAAGTGAGTGAGTGTGTTTGTTTGTGTAAGTAAGCGAATGAATGATTACGATGACAAATATGGAACTTTGCTATAACCATCTAATGACTTCAAACTTTCCGGAGATTGGCTTATATGCTTTATGATTTGAATTGTTGTCGATGAACAAATGAAAGATCGAATAGCCCGCAAGGAGGCACTAGCTTTCCTCTCTTATTTTGTTTGTTTTTCTAAAATTTTTTGTTTCATGTTTGCAAAATTTCATGTGAAAAATCCGAATTTAACTCATCAATATAACTTATCTCATATGATTAGAGGTAATAAATTTCGTACATTTTAAAATGTTTCCACCATTTTCACTCCGATTTGATGGTTATATTTATTTATTTTATAGAATTAAAGCTCGTTAGAGTTAACTTAAATTATGTAGAAGCAAAAGTATTGAGTTGTAGTGAAAGTAGTGAATACTGCTTGTGAATAAAAGAGTACTGAAAAATTTTGAACATGAAATAGTTGTGAATATTGAAAATGTGCTGCATTTAGTGCTCGTATTCATACGAGGACAGCTGAAATGAATGAGTTGAATTGGATTTTGGATTGAAACTGGCTGAACACATATTCACGTTGACGTGCAGAATGATGATTGTGACTTTCACTGAGAATTTAATTTGGAAAGATGCAATGAAATGAAGAATGGCACTTGAAGGAATTACGGAGTTGTGATGTGCGATTAGGGTATTCATTACGTTTTAGAATGCGTGAAACGTTTTCAAACCATTGCCATTGAAGCAAAACGTTTTGAAGAATGCTGACTTCAGCTAAACTTCTGTGAATAATAATAAGTTCAGTTGCTACTTATAACAACCTAGAGTAAGTATCCTTTTGGCAACAATCAAAAGGATACTCTAGGTTGGTTGTGCACCACAAACGGCAGAAAAATCGAATTATTGAGGAATAGTGGTTGATTAAGTGAATGAATGATTGAAAGAGCAGCTGACTATATTGCTGAGGAGATGTCGAAATTGCAAAGACTGAGAGGGAGAGGGAGGAGAAGGAGGTGAGGCCGACTACAACAGTGCTTTATAGATTGAATGAAACGGTATTGTAATAACATCGGAAGGTGCAGCAGATTACGCCTACTGAAAGGGAAAAATCCGGTCTGGCTATGGACCTGTGATGGAGAAAGAAACAGAAAAGAAACGAAATTTTAGGTGGTACCAAGATTTATTGAAGTGGCAAAAAAGCAAGAAAAGTATACGATTCAAGGAAGTGGTGAACAATTGCGATCATGGCTTTACGTTGACGATGCTGCCGCTGGTATACAAATGGCAACAGAGCTGGGTGAAATTGGTCAAATCTATAATTTGGGCACTTATTTTGAGATGAACGGTTAGTATTGCGAGTGAATGTAATGCTTATTATTGTTTATTAGTAATGAAGAAATAAATTGAGATCGATAAATCAAAATGAAAATAAAAGTGAATGAATGAAAATGGTTTGAAGTGCTCGACTTGGCGCATAAAATACAATCGGAAGTTGACAAGCAAATGGGCCGCAAGCAACCCACCCCCGTTGAATTTATCAGTATACCTGACCGACCATACAACGATCTGCGCTACCTCATCGACATCACGAAGGCGAAGGATCAGCTTGGATGGAGTCCGAAAATTTCATTCGATGAAGGTGTTTTATTTTTTACCCCCTTTGTATTCCTCTTTATAACAGCATGAAAAAAAAACCAATATCACGTCTGCAGCAATACTGATCACATCGAGCCCTATTATTGATCAAGAAGTCGAAGAGCAAAATTATCGAGCAATTGCTCCTCGTTAGGGACCAGTGTGGTGTGGGCATCGGGGAATTTCGGGATCTCGTCTCCGACTTTTTCGAATAATAATAAAATGACTAACATTTTCGGGTTCCCCGACTGGACAAATTCGTCCCCGATTTCCCCCGTCCTCGACTTTTATCCGTCACCACACCACACTACTTTCAACCATACATGTTGTATCAAAGGATTTAAATTCACTCCTATGTTTGATCATAGATAGCAGTTTCCATTTTGGGAGAGGGGGGGGGAGGCGGGTGGGGGTGGACAATTTGTTGGTATCTTATAACTTTTTGCTGACCATCAATTGAAATAATTTGGCATCAACATTCAAATGACTATCATTTAGTGTTATTATGACTAGTTCTATTGAGGTTCTGTGCAAATTATTGTCCACTTCAGCGGTTAGCCCGTTTTTTTTTTGATCATGTCATATTGTTGAAGTCATTCATAACTAATTCATCCGACAAATTGAGCAGTTTCACGAGATCATTTTGAAACATTTTAGGTATCCGTCGTGTGGTAGCGTCAACATTATGCGAACGAAAAGAAACACAAAAAATGAATGTTATCATATACGGTGGAAATGGGTGGGTTGGTAAACAAATGCAAAAGTTGATGACCCAGAGGAAAATCCATTTTCAAGTGGCTGAATGTAAAGTTGGACGAAATACCGATGAAGAAGTAGGTGATGTTAGCCAATTGTGTATGTTGTATCCTTATTGTTGATATTATTATCATCATTAATGTTGCTATCATGTATATTGTATGTTGATATTAATGTAATAATTATCGTCCATTTTTTTCGCTAGGAGCCCGTCGGGGAGCGAAGTGCCCTAGGAGGGACCGCGAAAAAAAGCGAATTGAGCTGGAAGTGAGCGAATTTAGTATTGTCACTACTATTATTTATAGGTATTAGCTGAACTAGTGAAATTGTGTGGAACGCATGTACTTTGCTGCACAGGTCGCACACATGGTGGGGAATTCAAAACTATCGAATACCTTGAAGGTCTCATTTATTTACTTATTCTTTCTATTCATCACTATCCTTTGTTATAATAACGATTATTTTTATTGTAACTGTTATTATTATATTAGTATTATTGTTATCAGTAACATTGCGATTATTATCATTTTCAATATGGGTGTTTAGGCGGGCCAGAAAAAACTGAAGAGAATGTTCGTGATAATTTGTGTAGCGCCGTGACTCTGGCGTATTTATGCGAGAAATTAGGATTGCATTATACCTATGTGGGAACTGGCTATTTATTTGCATATGATAAAGAGCATACAATTGGTGGAAAAGGTTTCACCGAACAAGGTTATTGTTGTAATTATTAAGATGTTTCGTCAGTTATTCTGACCATCGTTCCCCATTGCAATGAGTTTATCCCTCTGTGCTTTAAGTGATCAAATAATAATAACAATATTCTTTCCTCCACATCCATGCACACATACCCAACGATATCAGCTATACAAGATCATGAGATTTCATTGATTTAACATGGGTTGTTATTGTTGTAATGAACGAAACCTTCAGATACACCAACATTTTTCGGCAATTCGTATTCAGTGGTAAAAGGCTACACGGATCGACTGATGTCGCAATATCAAGGCGGTATCAAAGAATGCCTCAACGCACGCATTACACTTCCACTCAATTTTGCGCTTAATGAAGAGCGTAATCTGCTTACGAAAATTATTAAATACAAGTTCGTTCGTTTTTAAATCTTCTTTTAGCTTTAATTTGTTTATCTATTATTTTATTTTATGCTCATTATTATCAGATGACGGTACTAACGATAATAATAATAAAAAGAACAAAAATGATTAATAGTAATAATAACAACATTAATAATGATAATGGTAACAATGTTTTGCAGACAAATAATTGACATTCCAGTATCGATAACAATTCTCGATGAATGCCTTCCAGCTTTACTCGAACTAATGGAGAAGCGTTACGGTGGTAATTTGAATTTGGTGAATCCAGAACCGATTAGTTTGCATCAGATTCTGGGTCTTTACAAGGAGGTACCACTTTTGTTTGCGATAATTAACTTTTTATAGCTCAACCCTTCCAAATATTATTGTTCTTCTGCTTTTTCTTTTGTCTTTTCCCATATCAGATATTACCCACCACAAATGTTCGTCGGAGGCCAGCTTTTTTGCCGGGAAACTACGACGGGGAGCTATGTGGTCGGGAGAGGGGTCCCGACCGAAAGAGGGAGTGACGGGGAATTGCCTCCCGTCGGGGATCCCGACAGGGACACTGTACCAGTTATCACAACAAATCTTTCTCCCTCGATATGACTGAACTTTTGAAACGGTTATTTGTGGCATTATCACTATTATGATCAATATGAATAGCAAAGCATCGCACGATATTACCATTGTAATTGATGGTGCATTTTGCACATTAACTCGTAAATTGCACTATTCCGTGCTGTCATGAAAATTTTATGATTTAGTGTTGTTTCATTTGTTTGATCATTATTCGCTTCAGTTGGTGGATCGAACGTTGCCCGATTATGAAGTGATCGATGTACACAGTGAAAAAGGCAGGGCAATGTGTGCGAAGAAAGGTAATTGCGCACTCGAAACGAGTTTATTGCAACGTCTATGTCCATACGTGCTGAGCAGTTCTGATGCGTTACGAAAAGGTTTCGAACAAATGAAAAATGCTACTGCTACATAATACAATTTGTATGCATTTTGTTTTATACATTCAGTTTCATTTCATTTCGTTGACTTAATAGTTTTATTTTATAACTGAAAACTAATTTATCGCCCAATTTATCGAAAAATATGTTTATGACGTTGCAAAAATGATTAACTTCCAAAAAGTTTAATCAGTTCATGTGTATCTTTATCGATATTTGATATGAAATGTTGCACCGCGAGAAGTTTATTTGCATAATTGATTGTTTGCTGAATTGCTACAATCGAGAAGTTTTGTTAATTTGTTGAATGTTAGTTGGATTTTGAATGTTTTAAAAAAGTTTTAAATTTTAAAGGTTTGTAATCTGTGCAATCAAACAATGTGATATTTGAAATGAATTAAGCTCATAACGTTCACAGAATTGCACTTTCAGTTCGTAATAAATGATGTTTGCGTTAATTAATTAGAGTTTTTATACGTTTGCATTGGAAATAAATATGTTACTGTTGTGTGCGTTTACATTGGGAATATCAGGTTCATTGCCATCAATGATTCGTTACTTTATTATCATTTAATATTACGTTTTCGACTAACAACACGAAATGTTTTTTCGATTTCATACAATGGAAAAATAAATGAAAAATGCTTGAAATGACTAATAATAGCAACAACCGTATTCAAAACTGCTTCAAACTTACAATTGGGTAGAGAAATCTGCTGGCCAAAGGCTAGGCTTAAACTCAAGCCAACCATAGACAATATTAAAGCATTTTTGAAAAAGACCATACAAAGCGTTGTAGATCTCATACATATACTCGTACTTATGCAAGCAAGTTTTTGCTTATAACAACATTGGAATAATAATCACATTAGTACCAACTATAATCATGTAAAAACACAACGAATGCAACGGTACTGCCAATAGCTGTAATAATAATTTAAAAACTAACAACATTAGTCTTAATAATAACGATATAGATGTTCACGTGGGCATACGAAACACTGGTGCAAAAATAAAGTTGAAGAGAAATTTGAATGCGAAAAAGAGACGACTCCAGATATGTCGACGATCCATTTTGACGTTAACGATTCTGAGATGCTTTAAATCTTTCCGATTCAGCAACTGTAATTAGCAAATAAAATCAATATGCTAAATACATAAATCTGTATCATTACTGCTAGTTTCATTTCTTAAACGACCCATGGATCTCGCAAAAGCATAACGGACAGGACCGATAAGGCTTGATCTGTGGGTAACATCACAGTACGTTCAAGCGTCGCAGTGATGTTATGGCAGTGTTTCACTTATAAAGTATTTTATCATTATCACTAGCAGTATTATTATACTATAAATATTATTTTCATCTTTGAAAATGCAAACAATACTGCATGACCAGTGCACATTCTCTTGTCAGGCTTTTGCACTGCGTGCCTTCATTTGGCCCTATTACGAACCGCCATTTTGTACTATAACACTCCATGTTATCATAATTCCTTCCCCCTCCTTTGACAACCCTTTATTACTTAATGACAAATCAGTAATCATAACCTGTCTGCAGGTAAGACATTCCAACTGCAGTAAACGCAATTTTGGTGGATAACGAAAGATCGGATATTGATCAAAATAACCGATGAAGCGAACCAAATCACCTGGAACAGATAAGAATAATATTAGTGATAACACAGGAAATACTCCTTCCAACACCAATAAGTATCAAAATGAAAGAAGTAGAATACCTTCGTCGAGTAACTTCAACAAATCAGTGAAAGCATTCGATGCCGACAGTATCAACTGTCCTTTATTGCTACTAATATAATGTTCACCATACGGTCCAGAAACGTCAATTTCGAATGAATACGTATTAAGGTGGCTTAGACTGCACTCATTCGCACTAGAAACATTATCGTTAGCATTTCCGTCATTAATCAACGAAACAACAACAAAATAAGACCATTTTAATATGGTTTAACTCATTAGTTGATCTCATAAGAGGATCTGTATTAAATGCATTGTATAATATTTTTTAAAGGCACTACTTTCATTTATGTCACTTTAATGCTGATACGTATGCTTATAAAAAGTTATTTATTTTGTTTTTTTATTTACATTTCACAAACGTTAGATAAACGACTTATTAGATCGTTATGAATATTTTCAGTCGACGACCATCGAAAAAAAAAACCATTTATCAGTTGTAGATGAGGAAGTAACACGTTTTTGATGGATAGGGGTGGAGAGATCTTTTCGTCGCGAGAAGACTGCTTCTCGGGACCGCTCCATTTGCTTTCCGTAAGGGAATACTTTCAACAAAAAGAAATCGTTCCCAACCCTAATACGTACACATACCTGATATCTTTTGTATACGAACCATCATTCTTATCCGTATCGTAAAAACATCGAATGCTTTGTGCCAATGAATCTGGTGAATAATCCAACAGAGTTTCAAACGAATTATCAATGCTAACGATTCGCACCGATTGTACAGTTCCTTTCCAGTTTATCGCTGTTCCTATAGCGATCCAATAAAAACATTTCCTTTTTAGTTTTACAGTAGTGATTGTATCAATAATAATAATAATAACAAAATCGGTAAAAAATGAAACCTTTCAATTGACTACACTTAATTTGATCGCTGATCACGTTACTCGCTGATGGATTGCAATGCTTATTGAAATTTGCCCTGAACTTATTTATTAACAAATATATTTTATAAAAAAGTGTTCAGTAACCATTAAGCTTCGAGAAAGATTACAAAGAAGAAAAGTGAGTGTATTACAAAAACATTCGAAATAGCGTTCAAATAAGACCAAAAAGAATCGAACAAAGCGGAACAATCGAATCAAAGATTTACCACGTCAAATTGGTGATCGTATTTGATGCATCAAATGACAACTCACCATGGTATATCAACGAAACTGTCATCAATAATGCAAACACATATGCAATTATCAAACAAATTTTTGCACGAAATGAACGCTCTGGAAAATCTGAAAAACACAAACAAACAAAACTAAATAAAATTTCCCCTCGCAATCAAATTAGAACATAATTGAAAGCAGTATTCTCTACTCTTGAACCAGTGCTTCTTACACTTCTCTGTTCCGTCTCCCTCTTCGTCGATCGTACGGGCACACTATTATTTCCTCTTCTCATCCAACAACAATCGGTCAACATTAATTCGTCGACCTCCTCAATTCTCCCATTCCACCTGACCTTCTCAAATTCCTCTTCTCCCTACGAAAAGTGGTATTCTAAAAAATCAAAAACAACAACAAATAAATCAAATTTCAAAACTTTCATCTGAAAAACACTGAAGTGAGATAAACGTACCTTTGAAACCATATTTCTTAGCGAGTTTCTTGAAGAGACGAATCAAAACAAATGGAAGTATCAAGAAAAAGATCGTTATGAATATTTTCACTACACTAATCTGCAAAATAATAGCAAATAAATTTTACTAACAACTCTAAACGTCTCATTCGTATTTAAGTCACAATCAACTATTCAAGATTAACAGGATCCAAACAGCCTTCGGTACTACTCTCATGTAGTAATCGCAAAAAAGAGCAACGATTGTTTAAATTAAGAACAGTATGAAGCGTACAGATGTGTTGTATTACTAAATCAATCAACAGTCGCATATGCGCAATTCACAACTAAAGCAAAATCCACCGACTTTATGAACCCTTCATCGAGAAAATGGGTGAAAAGAGGACAAAAAAATTTCAATGTCGTCAATTTTTTACGAATCCACAATCCATCAATACTATTACTATTATTATCATTATCATCTTTATTATTATTCATAAATCTACCATACCATTTCAACTGATGCCTTGATTTGTGTAGCTAATATAACGCATGATAGACCTGCAGCTAGCAGCGATGGTGAAACAAACATCGATATTACCGCAACGGTTAAAATGAAACCAGACAATTGGAACTGTCGAAAGCCAATAAGCCAAAGAGTTACCGCTACGTCTGACCACATTATGAAAACCTGAATGTAAAAAAAAATTCAGTGGAATGGTCTAACATCGTTGATTATAGCACGAAGTAGTGTTGTATGGGGAGTCCCCGAATTCGAAGTCCCCATCCCTGTCCAAGACCATTTTTCGGGGATTTTCCCCGTCCCCGAAATGTCCCCGACTCTCCCCGTCTCCGACTTCTCCAGAATTACCGGCTCTCCCCGAAATTTCGGGGAGACTCCTCAAAACTTCGGGGTCTCCCCGAAAAAAATTGAGTTCGAATCTACCGCACCCTTGCGAGCAGTTAGAAGTTGAATATTGGATCTTTGCTCGTATGTTTTGCCTTAAAGGCCCAGCTACCATCCTGTCACAGCTAGGGTATACAGGGGATCTTGGGATCCCGGAATTTCAGTTCTAATCCCGACCCCGGGATTTAAGTTTTGAAAAATCCTGGGATCTCGGGATTTGATAAAGCAGGTCAATTTGTATTAATTTTGATAGTGCGTCGATCTTGAAGGAAGCCTTAATCATTCCCAGCTCATTCATATGCAGTCATCCTCGTTGTTTGCCACCTATCATCGATGAATAGTCAAGGAAATTGATGCAAGAAAGACGAATAACATGATCAACAACAGCTTGATGAACTTTTGCGTAGCATTTTATTGAACATTCAACTGATTGTTCTGCTCTTCATTAGTTTATGTCCCGCTCACCTGGATGCATTTCTATGTAGACTAATGGAGATAATTACATTTTCTAATGGGAACCAAGAGCAACAAAATTCAACGAAATTTTGAGTTCATGAATCCGTGTGTTAATTCCTTCCCACGATTAGGAATATTTTGAGAGCTGCACAGTGACATGTAATATGTCCGCATAGATGAGTGTAGTAGAAAACTGCAGGAGTAGAGCTATTTTCTCGTGTGATTGAATAAAATACTGCAAATATAATTGCACTGCGCCTTTGCAATTATCGCCTTTCTAGCCTAAAGATCACTTATTTCAATGCTTTTCCATCAAAAAATCATATTTTCAAGATCCTACTAACTCTAGTTACAAAGTTACATTTTTGAGGAGTTTCGGGGAGCCGGGAACGAGGATAAGATTGAGTTTTCTCCTCGAAACTCCCCGTCCCCGACCATTTTCGAGCGGCGGCCATTTTCGGGGACTGCCCCTGTCCCCGGAATGTTCCCGACTTTCCCCGTCCTCGACTTATTTCTCTCTCTCCGCACAACACTAGCACGAAGTTACGTCGTCTGCATTGGGTTGCGTTCATCAGTTACTTCGATCATTCGATGTTTGTTTTATTCGAACAACCGGATCGTTTTTTGCTTTTTTTTGCGGAGGGAGGCTTATTTCAAGCTTCTTTTGTTAGGGATCGTTGTGCAATATATAAGAGTATCATCTCTTTGCCCGTTACAAGAATTAACGATCCATATTAGAATGCTTTATGAAGCGCGTTTTGTATAAAGGTAATGTAGTACTGTTTATGAATGAAAACGAGTATGTCAAATGAGGAATGAACATTGCACTGATTCAGATTTCTGATATTATCATTAATGGTAATTTAGAGTAGAAAAGCATTTACTTGTACCATATTTGTACTATATTATTATTCTCATTTTAATTGCTCACCGAATCAATAAATAGAATGATTAATTAATCAAAAAATCAATCATCCACCGATGAACAAACGGACAAATACTCACAATGTGTGGTATGATAAGATGAATAATTTCAGTCCAACGTTGCTTTCTTAAAGCCATCAAAATATACGCAATGGGAACAATCAATAAGGCAAACGATGGTATGCCAATTGCAAAACGTAAATGGCCTGGAATGGATGTAATTTTAATTTTTGAACTGTTAAAAAATTCAATTCAGTTCAAAAATTTGCAATCAAAAAGCATTCGTTAAAAATTGTCGAATGACAATAGTGAGGAATGCAACTTTCTTTTGGTTGGCAGAAATTTTGCAGCGAAAAAAAAAGTTTTTTCTTAATTCGAACAGGGAATTTCAACATAACTCACTCAATCGAAATTCGACGAATGGTCGCCAAATTTGCCAGTATGCTGCCGAAACACGCATTTTTTTCATGACAGCTGGTAAACTGCAATAAATTACTAGAAATATGAAAATAATTTTTAGGTTCATATACCATTCTGGTTTCATAGAAAACGAAACAGTGAGTCATATGCTGTACAAGGGGTAAGTGAAAAACCCTGGCCTCATCCCCAGCTGAGGCGTAAGTCTGATAAACGTACAGAGAGGACATCAAACTACCTCAAACTTTCCACCCAAATAAATTTAAAAACTGTGAAGTTATTTCATACAAGCGCTTAAATCAATTTCATTTGGTAAATAAATGGAAAATAAAAACAAAATGACCATGAAATAATATTTGCTGTGATTGCAATTAACGCGATACGATCGGTACTATCGGCTAATGCAACAAAGCAAATGAGTGTGAAGAATGCCGAAACACCACAAAAAAGAATACAATTCGGTAAATTGCGTTCAGCTAAACCCAAACAAATGATGAAAATTAGCAGAGCCAAAAAGAAGTTCCAATAAGGTTCCCATGAAGCGGTCACAAATTGACTTTCCTGAAATATAAAATGCAATGAGATATTTACAATAATTTATAGTCAGAAATGGAGGAAAGAGACGAAATGAAATATGAAAATGCATTGCTAATTCATTAGGTTTAACGCAAAATCCTCATAGAACATTCTTTCAAACATTTATTTAAAGTATAGTGTAAATTCTCTCAAACGTTTCAAGTATTTCAGCCTTTTATACGTTCGAGCATTGACCTAATTTTGAGCCTAAGCCTAAGCCTGAACTCCAATTCAATTTATTTGGATCAGTCTAAATTAAGCTGATTCACACTGCTATCTATTGTTATACCCGTACGACATTTACGCATTGCGAGCAAATTCTACGTACCTCAATGTCGGCTTCAGTCACCGATGAGAAATGTTGTCGCTGATCACCGTCACTAACATTAACGTCATCTTCAAGCTTGCTGATTTCTTCAGTTTCTCCTAAGTCTTGAGTCCCTCCTCCCTCTTCTTTTTCCCGTCCCCTTCCATCAATATACCCCCTTCCCTCATCACGATCAAAAATCCGTAAAATACGCATCCAAATTCGGCGATGTTTCAATAACGAGCGATCTCGAAACATTTTCAACGTATTATACATCATTGCACCAAATGCAATATGACATAATATCACGGGTAACATTCGGAAGAGTGTAGTTAAACTGAAATTTTTCCAATCTTCTGTCAAAGTATGTAATAATAATCAATGATGATAATAATAGTAACAATAATAATTCAATAATTTACAATGATGATAACAATAATCCATCTATCATTGAATCATCAAGTAAATTTTGGACTTAATTTTTGCGATGCTTACATGAGACTAATAATGTGTGCAGAATAATTGCGTACAGGTTTCATTTGGCGTTGTTTGGTGACGTTTGTATAAATTAACGACAGAATTACTCATGTGGTCAATTACCTAATAATTTGCACGAAACAGATAAACACGAGTGTTTGAATCTGTTGTAGCGGTATAAATGCATAGAACACGGTTTTCCACTGTTTTTGCACTTTGTCCAATAAATATTCAATCAGCATATCGATTCGTTTCACACTCTGTAATAAGCAGTGATAATAATAATAGTAATAATAATAATAATAATAATAATAATAATAATAATAATAATTACTTTTACTATCAGATGATTTTCTTTCTTAATGAGTAATTCAACCAAGGTGTCGTAAGGATACTAGAGCCACGTGTTCAAATAAATAAACAAATATCTCGTTGAGTAAAATAAAGCTGAATAAATAAATAAAGAGTTGAATAAATGAATAAACTACTAACATATCGCGCAACAAAATTCGAAATCGGTAATTCATATCCACCATCCAACTGCAGCACTGATCTAATACCCTTGATGAATTCCGCCTCATCTGTTCCCAAGTGCCCATCATCCAATACTTTATCATTATCATTATCATCAACCTGAAATCAAACAATTGAGTTTGTTAAATTTTTAGTAAGTTCGCTAACTAACTAGTTGAGTTGTTTCTTAGAAATTTCTTCATATTAATGGTGACCGAATGAAAAATTGGATCGTCGAAAATCAACTGAATCAACTTCGCCAACTCCTAAATTTATTTTTTAATGAAAAAATTCCGAATCCTTCGATTACAATACCCTCGTACAATTTCGAAAATTATCAAGCTTTAGCAATCACCGAACAACCCAGAATTCGCTCACGATTTATCGACCAAACCTCAGTCGATTACGACCACTAATACTACCATCCATAATCATTCAGTGAAAGATGCTTAGTCCAAGCTCGTTTAGCATGATGTTGACTCTGATCGAATCTGTTCAAATCTTCCATCACTTTTCCTTTGATGACTCGAGATTACCGAACAGATGAATGAACAGTACTTCCTTTTATCTTCTGACCACTGAAGATAATACTATTCTATTATGTAAAATACTGAACTGACCATTTTCATATGATCTGATTCATTTTTAACGTATTGATGATGATGCTGACGATCATCAGTTGGTTGTTGTTGTTCGGGACTGATTCGTCTTTCAGTTTCTTCTTCTGTTTCTTTTGTTGAAACATTTTGTCCACTGTTTCCATCACCACCAACATCACTGCGTTTATCATTTGCATCCAAGATGAAATCATTCGATTCTTCTTCCAAATCAGCATCTCCCATCAGCTTCTCGATTAATTCTATAAGCAAGTAAATGAATATTTTAACAACAACCATAACGAACAAACAAAACACAAAATTTTCATTGTGGTTCTATTCAGTTCATTTCACTTCAATTTTCTTTCTTCATTCTATCGCTTTTTCAAATATCCATTCATACGATTCTCAGTTAAGAATATCTCCTCTTCGTTAGTTCACTTGTGATTTTACCGAAATAATCGTTTAACCACATAGATGGATAGATGATAGATGAATGATAGAAAAACGCTGGAAATAAGATTGCTGCAGTTGAGAGATTGCAACTGAGAATCTTCATAATGAAGTAGATAAACAAATTACAATTGCTCTGATCAAGAACCCATCAAAGCCCGCTGGTTACTTAGTTTTCTTGACGGTGCGAAACAAATGATTCTTCTTGCATATTGACAGTTACGGGTTACATCTGAATAAATATATGAAAGGATAATTACCTTTTTGAGTGACATTTTCATTCTCTTCAATTTCTTTTATGAGTACACGTAACGCTTGCTCGGGTGCAAGGCGTGATGAGCTACGACCAGTCAGAAGGTGATACACCCGTAAAGCAGCTTCTTTTGACCATGAGCTTGAACCTTAAGAAAGTACGTCCGTCCTTCCTCAAGCAAACGATGAAACATTCCTTACGTCTTCATAAGACGCTAAAGCACGCATCGGCAACTCCCGGCTCGCGGACCAAAATTGGCCCGCCGACAATAATTTTTGGCCCGCCAGATGAATCTGAGATTTTGATTGCACGTTGGCTCGCCAGTCAGTTGCTTGGAAAAATTTTCGTCCGCGGTCAAACCTACTTGCCGATGGCTGCACTAAAACTACGTTTGCTTCTTCGTCCACTTTCGTTATCTCACTCAATGAATTGAAGCAAAAGTGAGTTGTAAGGAAAATAACTTAAGGACAGAGTTAGATTGACATATAAATTGGGAGATTGTGGTTTGGATCGCTGACGTTGCAGTGTGTGTCAGATCCGTTTGAACAATAGCTATGATAGGATTAATTAATGGCATAGTAATTAATGGTGGCTCAGGGTCATGGACAATTCACATTTAATAAAGAGTTTGCTTTTGAGCATTCTAAATTTAAAATTTTCTATGATTCTGGAGCCTTCCGTCTCACAATCAGGCACAAATCGCTCATGTGCACACCATGCGTGTACCAAGAAAAACCAATTCTTGCACGATGCACTGGTAATAGCTTCCGCTCATTTCAATGTCAATTTCCTCAGGATTTGGCTTAGACTTAGACCGTCGTTTTTCAGCATTCCCATAATGAGCTGCAACTTGTAGGGTTGAGAAGTTTATTTCGGTTTCCCTCTTGAACCGGTCTGGAATTGATCCTTAACTGACTGACCTTTATCATCTGTGTGTCTGGGTACCGCAGAATTAGTACCGTTTGTGATAAGACTGGTTGTTAGACGACTGGAATTATCATTATCATCTGATGAATATGATTGTGTATCATACTCTAAACATTTTTTTACACGTTTCATGTTCAGCAACACAAACGATAACTTGTTGGATTGGTGAATAGATTGAATCTGAAAATTTACATAGTAGTGCATCGTATTCATACTTTTTTGAGTCTATCATTGAGTTCCTTATATGATAATGCAAAACGACACGATACAATATGCAACTGATATAAGGTATTCCTATGGTGGATCGGTTCTGAAGAGCAGCTCAATGACTGTTTGACATAACAGAATAATCACATTACATATGACCAATGCGCAACTGGAACTGTTCATTGTGGTCATTCAGTTGTGAGTGAATACGTTTGCGTGCGTGAGAATATTTTTGAACGAACGATGGCTATTCAATGCTTTTGCATTGCTGCAGTGCGGTCATTAGTGTACGGTTGCTAATTGATAATGAACGATCGGGCTAGTGTCTTCTATCGTTTATATTAGGTAGACTGGTTGGGGCATTAGGACCATAACCTGAATCCACTGTAAAAGGGCAGACTTTTTGTTTAAATTTTTCCATCCTTTATTAGTGTTAGAGCATTCCGTAACTGAATATTCATCCGTTCATCCATCGATCTTGAAAAAGATGAGGATTTCGTTCTTCTTGATGATACTTCCTTATTTATCTCTCTCAATTAGACTACCAACTTGACATTTTTGATCAACATTCGACGTAAAGCTGAGTACAACAAGTTTAAATACGAGGAGAAGCGAATTAGACCGGATGACGCAAGCCATATCGACTCCATTTATTCATTAATGCACAAGTAGAGAAATGGAGAGCACATCAATAGGCATAAATCAGCCTAATCAATTTTATGTTTTAAGATGGCCAAATGGATGGTTAGGCGGCCTGCTATGAGAGGAAGTCTACTCAAAATATTGTGAATAAACGTGAACGAAAAGACTCCATTTATGCCTAAGGCCAACAATGGCAAGCACCCTAAACGTCTAGGGTTTTCTGTTCTTTCTTGTTTGTCCAATTGATGAGGAATTCAACTTGAAAGTTCGATGCATTTTGCAGTTGGGCTCGTAGCTAGTTCCGTAAAACTATAAACAAGAAACGTTCACGGTGGTGTTCGTTCCTGTTTTATTGGATAACGACAGAACTTTACGGGGGATAATCTGAAAGCTGAAGTGTCGAGAAAACTATGATTCTGAAACCCTACACAGCGAGTGGTTAAAAAAGGGCTTTATCAGGGCATACCACCCAGTTTGTCGTCGTTTGGTAATTAGCATAGATACTACCCAGTTCGAGAATTCGAAGATGACGGTGTATCAAGCATATGTAAAATCGCCCGTTTGTTAAAGCACTGTTGTCCCATTGTGGTTGTTGAACGACGGCATATCGTTACAGCGCAGTTCAGAGTAACGTACGCGCGTTTTAGTCACAATACACAGCGCAAGCGTTTTTAATTATTGTGTATATTTATTGTATGTGTTGTTTGTATTTTTATGTTAATATATATTTGTTTGTGTGTGGCATATCATGTAAAACAGTCTATGACATTGGGAAATTAAAATCATTTTGAAATGGAATTTCAACTCGAATTACTCATTACACTTTGAATTTGTACTGAAAATGAAACCGATCAGGTACGACTCAATGCATCGAATTCATATCAAAAGCTATTCGCTCATATTATCATCGAAGGAATGTGTGTTGTAAAAAAGCGAATGATAATATGAATCACACTACTAGCACTTGCCCACCGCATTCATCTCTATTCATACACTTGAGTGCTTCATCTACCTTCTGAATCTAGCTTCTCTTTAGCGAGGATCACTCTTACATTTTCAGTTTTTCGTTCCGTTTTCTGCGAATTTTTCATTTTATCCATCGTTTTTTCGCGTAATTGCATGTTTATTGTAATTGGGTATGATGAAATCGAATAACTTTCCGTAAATATTCTCATTTTTGATGTTCCTAATGAATGTTTTTACCGACTGCCGTTATATGCTGTTGTGTAACGCAACAGTAATTTATGACTGATTTCAGGTCGCTGGGGAATAGGACGGCATGCAAGCGATCAAATGTGTCGTCGTTGGCGACGGGTCTGTCTTTTCTTATTTTGTTTCTCCTTCCAATTTTCACGGTTCACATTTTTCTACCAACTTTCTGTGGATCCCAGTGTTTGTGGCCATCTCATCGTTTGTTTGCTTCCATAATTACTTGTTGCCGTTGTTTTAGCGCAGTAGGTAAAACTTGTCTGTTGATAAGTTATACAACGAATGCATTTCCTGGTGAATACATTCCAACCGTGTTCGATAATTATTCAGCAAATGTTATGGTTGATGGTAAACCGATAAATCTTGGTTTATGGGATACAGCGGGTCAAGAAGATTACGATCGATTACGACCGCTCAGCTATCCTCAAACGGTTTTTATTTTAGCGTTTTGATAGATAGTTTAGTAACTAATGACGGGTTATTTTGATCTGCTCTTATTTTCATGATCGCTTAGACAAAATGCTCTATGGTACTTCATTTAATACGAACTCATTCCTGCCTGTACCTACTGCCGGGTCCGGTTCTTGTTGTTCTGCGTTGTACTTTTGCAGATTCACATGCTTGTGGGGTGAGAGATATGCACCACCAAGACAGTATCTTGAGCAAACGATAATGTAATTTTTCTTCTCATTTCAGTCTTGATATGACTCGTTGTTTTCAGGATGTATTCCTAATATGTTTTTCATTAGTGAATCCAGCATCGTTCGAAAACGTACGAGCCAAGTGGTATCCAGAAGTATCACATCATTGTCCAAATGCACCAATTATTTTGGTTGGCACAAAGTTAGATTTGAGGGAGGATAATGACACTGTTGAGAAATTAAAAGAGAGACGTTTAGCGCCGATCAGCTATTTGCAAGGACTGTCAATGTCTAAAGAAATAAGTAAATCATTAGTGTCATTCTACCATTAGCTATTATAATTCATTCATTTCATGCTTTCATTCTGTATTACGGACTTTCTTCCAATTCGACTTCAGCTTTTGCTAAAATATAAGAAATAAACATACATGAGTAAATAACCCCAGTAACGTCCTGTTTTGAAGAACATCTTTCATAAAATATTATTGTCAATGAATATTCAACAGCAACTAATTTTGTTTCGCTGCTTGCAGAGGCAGTAAAATATCTGGAATGTTCAGCACTTTCACAAAAAGGCTTGAAGCAAGTATTTGACGAAGCAATACGTGCCGTTCTCATTCCACAACCAAAGCCGAAACGTCGAAGGAAATGCACGATACTTTAGTGCGTTGATTCATGTTGTGATATGGTCTGGTGCAGCGCGCTTAGGATGAGAAGGCTGCTCATTATGGTTATGGTTGAAGATGTTTACTTGCTATTTTAACAGCCAATTTATTGCTGCAATTATGGCATGATAATATTAGTGATAATAATAATTATTATTATAATTGTAGTGATAATGATAATAGTAACAATGATAAGAATCAATCAGTTATTTTCATTAATATGGCGTAAATCAAATCACCGCTCCTAGCATATGCATGCGTACAATACGTTCGTAGATTTGCTTGTTGATTTATTCGTTTGTCTGTTTGTTGCCAACAGTGGTAGTAAATGAATAATGCTACAGCTTTTTATTATCGCTTTATTATTTATTGATTTTATTTCTGTTTGTTTTATCTGTTTAATTGGCTATTCATTTCTTGACTGATATTATTTTCGTCATCTATTCACCGATTACGATGGGCGAGTAGAAAGTTAGGAAGATGATGAGCAGCATAAGCATTGTATGGAAGTAAGCAAACAGGCCAGAAGCAAACGCTTAAAAGATTTTAATTAACTGTTTGCTCATAGGCAAGAAGTTGGTTTTTTCATCTTGGGTGTTGTGTTATTGTTGTTGTTGTTGTTGCTGCTAGAAGCTTTTGTTGCTCTCTCGTCCACTGTCATGTCAGTATGTACCATTATAATTATCCGATGTATATCTCTTATGTTATCTTTTCGTGTATTATTTTTCATTTTTGGTCATCTTCTATTATGTCGCCCCATTTTTTTCCATCTTTCTGTTTTCATTATTGGAGCGTGATGGTAATAATAATAATATCAGTAATCAATGGTTGAATGGCCATTTATTTATATGTTCATTTATTTGTTTATTGATTTGCTCATTTATTTTGAAATTATTTGATGGAATTTCATTTGTAAAATTCTTTAAAAAGTGTACGTGATGATTGTCATTGTTTCGCACAGCGTACGATGTGCGAAACAATAAAATTGGGCTGTCATTCCGAAGCGAAACAGAAGTGCGGAAACAATTCATTGTTTTATGTTGATGCATTTATTTTGAGATTTGAAAAAATTCGTTTTTCTCGTCACAAATCTAAATTCCTTAATGTTATTAGCGAAATGATTACTGAGTAATTTTTTGTTTGCATTTTTGCGCTAATTCTCCAATTTGTTTTTTGCTCTGTTGTTCTCTTTTTTTTGCTTCCGTTTCTGATCCATGTTTACTGTTGTTGTTATCATTATCTTTATTATCATTATTATTGTTATTATTACCATTACTATTATTATTATGATTGATTATTATTACTATTATTATCACCATTATCATTATTATTGTTATTCTAAATATTATGATTATTATTTCATTCTCGAATTATTTCATAATGTACCTTTCTGCGAGCGGTTTATAATTTTGCTATGATACTTACGTATATAAATTTTATTATATAGTTGTTTTATGATCGGATATGATAATAATAACGTTGACGATAACATCTATAATGATAATGTTATTATGGTTACGGTCACGAATGCTATCATTATTGTGCTCATTACTGTGTTATTATTACTCTTATCATTGCTATCGTTATTATCACTGTGTTATCATTATCACTATTAATATTAAAATCACTGTGAGTGCTTCATATAAATATATAGTATACGATGTAATAATAGTAATAATGTTGATAATAGTGATAATAATGTTTGAATATTTATTCTGAATGCCTTCTATGATCAGTTGTTGCTTGTCGTTCATTTGACCGAAGGAAAGTTTGTTTCACTTCAATTCTAGGTATTTATGGGTGTTAAACGAACGAACAAAAAGCAACAAAGAAATGATCTGCTAAAACAAACTGAGCATAAACATGAATGATGTGAGGAAGAATTGCTGTCGCCTCAAAACCGCTTATTATCTCAATTCTAGTTTCGTCCTATGGTCGTCCTTTTTCCTCCAGTCCCCTCCCCCACTCCCCGTCCCGTCATTGTCAGTGAGATCAGACCGCCTTAGGCTTAACGCTATTGCCTTGATACGCTTTCGTTGGTTTGCTTGCTCGATGTTTTGTTTTATTTTCGTTGATTGTTCTTTTGCCGTGCTGCATTCTTGAAGGCAATATTAACTCATTAATGGCAGTTGTCCTTATATGAACACAATTTAATGGATTAATTCATTTCTTTTAGATGCTTCAATATTGTGTTTGTTCAACGCGTTTTGTTCCAAGTTCATCGTCTCATGAATAACTCAGAGCTACTTCTCATTTCGTGTAATTCAACAGTAATTAATTTTCAGTTTATTCATGAATATACTTAAGTCATCTTGCGTATAGTAGAATTGTATCTTTTGAGTGAATACGTTGCTAGTTTGTGACAGATGGATTAGAAGGTTGATATCAACAAGTGAAATAATCTGAGTTGGTAGGTTGCATTCAATAGGTTAAATAACCCGAGGCGGTAGATAAGTAGTTGATTGATTTCCCGGTTGGATTCTTCACTGAATCGTTTTCCTTATTGTAATTGTACGCACCGTTGTTTAGGTGTTAATGTTTTGTTGTTAATGTTGCTGCATTTCTTTGATTATTTTGTGCTTCAAGCAATTATTTGCTTCCTATTCTTTAATATAATTATTACTATCATTATTATCGTCGTTAAAAATGATTGCAATGAATTTGATTTTTGTCTATTCGCTAAACTTTTCGTACAGTATGAACAATAGAGTAATTTATGGTATTGCGTATGTAATCCGAGTTGAATGAATTGAATATTTAATTGAACGCGATGACATAACGGCGCTATATGTTTTAGTTTCCTGATCATTACCATCACGATCGTTGTTGTCATTATCATCAATGTTATCGTTATTATTATTATCATTATTGTTGTTATTACTGTTATTATTGTTATTGGTACTATTATTATTTCAAAGTACGACTGATTGCTTGGATGAAAAGAGTAGATTTGAAACAGTTCATGAATTTATCAATTGAAAATCAATGAATTATTGAAATAATAATAAGAATGATGCTTAATAATCAAGCGTGATTCATTTCGTTTTATGTATTACTATTCATATAATTACTATATTATAGATACTTTTTATTGATGGACGGATGAATTGATCGATAGAAGATGTGTTTTTATGTGTTATTGTTTGTTTGTTTGATTGATTAATTGAATAGTTTTTGACTGAAATGATTTGATATGATATGATTGATGAGAGCACGATTCGTAAACTCTGTGCCGGCCTAGCATTATTTAGATTTACACAGGGCTATTCAGTCGTTAAAGGTGTATTGCTACACGAACAGTATTAGAAGATTTATGAGTCGCATGGGATTTTGTGTGGTATGATGAGATATGATATGATAAAGGGGGACGTTTGATTGTTTGCACTGAAAAGGGATGCAGGGAATGAAAATGAGTGAGAAAATTTCGTTTTCAATTTAGTTTTTAGTTTTTCCTTTATTTTCCTTTTTCACCCAGTAGGTGGAACTGAAAGTGATACTTTAGTATTATTATTTTGTTATTACTGATGTCATTAAAATTATTATCATTATTTTTACCATCATCTTTATTATTGTTATTGAAATTATTATGATTTCACTCTATAATTGTTTTCATTCGTTTACTACTGTTGTTTTTGTTTGATTTTGATTTGATTTCTCGTCGATTATAAATTCAATTGAATTGATTATTATTATTATTTTAAAAAGATTGTTGTCACATTTTGCAAGAAATTATTTAATTGATTCATTAAACTTTCTCCAATGAAGTCATTGTTTCGTTCATGATAATGATGATAATAATAGTAGTTATTATTATCATTTTTTGTTGTGAAAAAAGCGTTAGTAGTAACGTAAAGCTAGCCAGTGAGTATGGCTTAGCTTTATCTTCTCCTTATTCTAATTATGATCATTATAAACTGAGAACTTTCCATCTCTTGATTTCCTTCACTTAGTCCAGCTAGACAGTTGTCAACAACAGCTGCCAATAAATTGAGGCATACATGACGAAATGAATGAATCAGAAATATTATTAAACAAATTGTGTACATATAATAGAGGTGGTGTGCTCTATATACATAGATGGACTTGTAAATTTGTAAATAAACAATTAATTTCTAGCGAACCAACCAAGAGAAAACGAGAGAGAGCGAAAGCAATGACTGAGACACTAACAGAAAATATCCGACTTGAACACGAAGTGGTGCGGTTGCAAACTGAAGTGGAAAGATATCGTTTTGAGTGGGTATTTATGTTTGGTACCGCAGATATTACAAGTAGTGATAATGAAAGCGTTAATCGTATCGGTTATGGTAACGGTGATGTGTTGCTTCAACGACGCACTTACCAGTCAGAATAAATATGGAAGGATAAGTGATATGAATCGCCAGAAATAATGATAAATATATGACAGTCATCAATATTCACTAGATTATGTTATTCTTTAGCATATATACGTTATTCATTTCGTTGCACCTAGCTAAAAATAAAACTGGAGATCGTTCGTTGGCTTTCATTGGGGTAAGAGTAGAGCATGTAATGGAAATGATGAGATGAGTGGTAGTATCTCATGTGATGGCATGTAATCACTGGGTGAGGGAGATTAGTTGATGAGTTTGGTAAAATAAGTTTGTGGTCGTTTGAGGGCACAAGAGGCGAGAAACGAATTGGAAGAGCACGTTTCGTATAGTCGTCAACTGGAAGCGGAATTTGACGAGGAAATGAATGGCTTAAGGCGTGATCTAACTTTCAGAGATCGTGAGCTGACAAAACTGAAAATTGAACACGATAAATTGAAGGTATCTTCGTCATTTTGATCATCAGTATTATTATTTTCGTTACTATTACAATTATCTTTTTAGAGGTGAAATCTTTCGCTGATGAAGTAAAAACTCTTTTGCAGCACTGCATTTGGCATAATTTGAATTTATAAAATATTGATGGATTATCTGAATTGTTTATGATAAGATATAGTCGGATGGATGGATTGGTTTAACTAATATATCTGTTCATTTATTTATCCTTTGCAAACGTAATGCAGTAATTCAAAAGAAGTTCCGTCAGAATTCATTGTTGTGATAGGGAAGAAAAAGAAAACTAATACAGATTCGGATGTGAAGAAAGATGATTCAGCTGAAATCTTTAAGAGGCTATGGTTTTTTGGTTTATTTTCTGAAGAATGGTTTGTTTTGAAATGTATGCATTTTGCAGCAAATAATTAACGTGCGTGTATATTTATGTAAAAATATAGGAGAATCTAACACGTACTCGCAAAGAGGCACTTTCGACAAACACACAACTTCGGGAGCAATTACAAGTGGCCGTTGAAGAGCGTGATCGATTGGCCAAACAAGTGCAGCATTTGGAACAACAAAATGATGATCTGGAACGACAATTGAGGTCACTAAGCGCTTTTCTTTTTTGTTGCTTATTTTGCATCATTAGTTATATCATTAGCATCATTGTTCAGACCATCGGACAAGGCAAGTATCTTTGACCAGTCAGAATTTAGCTCAGACTTGGTTGAGCTTAACTTCAAATAAAATGAGAATAAGATGAGATGCTTGAAGAAATGAGTGAAAGAATAGAGATATTATCGCATCGATCATTCAGTGAATCGTTTGTAGGATCACTTGTGAAACGTTAACGAGTACAGAACGAAATTTGAATGCCGAACTGGAAGCACGTGCGTTGCTAACCACTGAGTTGGAGTTGAACGATGAGCTAAAGGTAAATAGGTGGTGCTGATATTGGGCAGAACAGTTTTTCTTTGTTGTTGTTTTTTGATTGCGCTCGGCTGATGATTTACAATAATATTTTGATGATAATGGTAAGAGTAATAATGCTAATGATGATGATGATTGGGCGAGTGATTCGAGGTTAATTCAAGGAACAGTGCCAGCGATTAGAGGACGAAATCCGAGACTTGAAGTTGGATAATACAGTGAAAGAAACCAAACTGAAGAATTTCACGAAGATTAATGATAATAATAACAACAATGATAATATCCATTCACCAGTTTCTTCAAACCATTTACCAAATAGTTCTTCTCCTCTTAACAATAACCGACGTCAGTCAACAACTAGTAATACGAGTAGTACTAGTAATGGGCCAATATGGGTTGAACGTTCAAAAGAAAAGCACCAAATAAACAGGAATAATATAAGTGAGAGTGAAGAATTGTGCACCATCACCAACAACAACAGTACTATTATTGGCAACAGTAAAAGGATGATAAATCCTATCACATCTACGATGTCCGTTAAAAATGGTCTTCTCACTAAATCGAAACCAACAACGTTATCAGTTGCCAGCTCAGGTGATCATTGTTATTATTATGGTTATAGTTTTCGTTGTTGTGGTTATTATTGTCATTTTACGAACACATTTCTATTTTTTAGTCTGTTTGTGCATTAAATTTTAGGAATGAATGGCGTTCACAGTAAAAACTCGTCCATATTCGAAACACCAAAAATTGGTGCAGCAACAAAACGTTTACAAAACGGTTGTTTATCGCCATCATCATCGTCTAATAATAATGGCACAACAACAAGTGCAACTTCATCATGTGCAACTTCATCTCCACTGGCAAGAAATGTTTCACCAATCATAACTGACTTATTACGAACCATTCAGGTTTGATCGCACACTCTTTCAGATGGATGCTTTTTGTTCTTAATATTACTGTTTGTCATTCATTCAGTTAAATGTCTTCAAAGTTCACTCCGACCACCGAACATGGTCAGGATGAGGGAACGATGACAAGAGATAAATATTGGGTAGTTGTCTAAGATAGGGGTTAATTTTTCTCTAACTTTATAAGTCTTCATAGCGAATTTTTGTTCTTCAATATGGGCGGTTGACTAAAAGTCACCGAAATTTAACTTCGTTCTTCGTTGTGCTTCTGTTTTCGGTAGAATTCGAAGTGAAAAACGAATAATTGAAAGGCATGTTTAAATAAAAAATGCAGGGAACACTACAGGCACTTGAGATGAAACTTCATCGAATATGCCCCGAAAGAAGAGCAACTGCAAACGTTTGTGAGGATCTCGGTACCTCTAATGGCTTTGCATCGCCGTCGTCATTAAATCATCATTGATGCGTGCGTTGCCAGTCATTTTTTGAAGATACAGGTATGCATTTTTGCTTTTACGTTTTCACTATTATTGTAATTATTATCTACAGTATTTACCAATTTTTCTAGAATAAATTTTAAAGGAATTTTGAATGTAAATTCAGAATGTTTCGCGTTGATTGACGTAATTTAACGTTGTACGAATGCTGCATGGCGATTACCAGCGGTTATTGTTACCATGATGTGGCGTTATTATGGTTACAACAGTTAACTTATGGAACAATCAGTCGAATTTTACAAACATTCTTCTTTGTCGCGTCCATCAGCAATATATTTCACTGCTTTCTTTAAATTCTTTTCGCTTTTCCTCTTCTTCATTCGGCGCGATCAAACCGGGATAATGAAAACTTGCTCAATTTTCCAAATTTTAATTGTTCCTTAACTTTTATCAGTCCCACACTCAACATCCATTTAACAACGTTCTCATTTCCCCTCTCTAATTTTCTTATCATTTCTATCTTTATGCTCATCATCAGTTTTGCATAATCCGTTAATTCTTTTCGATTTTTGTGTTTCTTTCATTGATTTCTGGTTTTTTTTTTCGGTGGTGATTTTGACTTGATTTTATCGATTCTTTCATATTCCACTTGTACTATCTTATTAATTTAATTACTATTGCCGTTATCATTCAAATTGTTATTTTTTAAAAGTTTGTAATTCATTCGTGTATTCACCAACCAAATCGTTTTTCTTTATTTCATATACGATAGATAGATATATTCGTGTGTATTTAATTTTGGTTATGTTCTTTTCTTTTCCAAAATTTTTATTTGAGTTATGTTGTACACCTGTATTATGTATCATCACTTGATGTATTACTGTAATCTATTATTATTTTATTTGTTATTTTGAATTGTGACATCATGATTATTGTTTTTGACCGTTACAATTCTTTACATTATCGTGAGTCTGTAAAATTGGTTTTGTCAATAAGTTGAGAAAAGAAATATCAAATGAGGATGCGCCTAGTATATATGTGAGATACTCGAAGAATCCGTATTTTATTTTATTTGTTTGTTTCTAAAATAATATCAACTTGTAGTATTACAAATGATGATCAACTGTCATTAGTACTCGTATGATATTGTTGGTATTATCATCACTATTACCATTTCTCTTATGGGGTATCACTAATATCACATTTTGACGAATTTCAGTCACTATTGTGATTTTGTTTGCTTGACTTTATCAATTATTATCACATGGTTCTTTGATGTATGCTCATAATTTGTGGTACCTTTCGAATGAGAATAACGACACATGATGTGGCACTTTTGATAAGAACAGTTTTCGCAGGATTTGCGTTCAAGTTTTTTGAGTGATTGTGATTCTCAGCACTTTAGTAGTGACTTTTCCGGCATAAGATGCAGGCGAGAAATCTCGTCAATTGTTATTGAAAAGCATTGCTGTTAATATGGACGAACTGGCTCTAAGCTCGATCCAAAAGCATAGTTTGAGGGCGTCGTTCTCATTCGTTTGCCTCATCACATCATGCAAGCAGCCGTGTAATTGTCGATCAGTTAACCCATTAACGCCGAATTCCATGAGCATAGCTGATTAATGCAGTTCATTTCAACGGATTTACACTACTTTCACTTAAATTTATTGCTCACGCTTACATGTAATTTCTATTCAAAGTTTGTACAATGTTGTACAGACTTCAAATGAATTATTTGTTAACGTAAGCGAAAGTACCAAATTGCTGTTAGTGATATAAGCAGTGTCTTTAAAATATGCTACAGTCATTACCTAGTCTCATATTATGGGATCCGGTATTAATGGGATAATCAGCTGGCTGAAAGGATCACAAATGGTCAAAATGATCACAAGCTTAGCTCTCGAATCGAACCGAATAAATAAACTTGATGTTGCTTACTATTAGATAGTTGGTTGTATATTCAGATTTGATCCGAGTGCATTACAATGTTAAAACGGATGATGAATGAGGAATAATGTTGACAGTTTGACGGAAGAAACGTCGAAGAAAACGTTTATACTCTCTTTCAATGAAGACCGACTTGCTTAATGTTTTTTCGTCAGTATAGAACATCAATATCTACAAATGATATGAACCACACAAATAGATGGCGAACGGACTCGATTCTTGTATTGGCCATAAACAGCAGTTGGATAGTGCACATAGACCAAAACAAATTTACGATTAAGTAAAGTTCAGCATAAGTCACAAAACGAAAGAACGATTGCCTCTGATCAACCATGATCAGAACGATTGCCTTTCTGACAGACTGACTGAGTTGTTCTTCCGATTCGATCCTCTCCGACCAAACAGCGGTCAGTACCTTCTTCCGGCGCATCTATCGTGTACACCTGTGGATATCGTTCTCTCCATTCGTCCATCCTATCTTAAATTATCGCATCCTGTCGATGCCATATCTTACCGCCTTCATTGTATCTTCCCAGTCGAAGACTAAAACATTCAAGTGTTAGGCCGTACCAATCGCTTTGCTTTATACACATACGTCATTGTGCATTATCTATTCTTTTGTATAGTGTGCAAGCATGTGCAAATATTCATAAGCAAAACGCACAATCTACACCTCGACAATACTCATGTAAATGCAGTTTTCAGTGTATATAAGAAGACATACCGGAAAGAGATACTTGTGTAGAGATTGGCTTGATAACCATT